AGATATATATTATATATTTTTATCATATGTTATAGTCGTTAAGTAAACTGTAATATGATATCTTGATTTTACACCTAACACCCCACCCCCATGTGACTTTACCCCCAACACCCACCCCTAATTCATTTTATGAGTTGCATCATTAAAACTTCAATTGCGACGCTACGACACCCCGTGAAAGTCAAAATCAAAACACGATGTCTTTTCCACGATCTCGCTAGACATAGACCGACAGTCGAGCACTCGACCATTCAAGCTTCACTGATCAATTAGGGCCTAGGGTTCCGTCAAATTGTAGGGTTTGCCTTCCCCTGATTCGATGGTTCCTTCGGCTATCCGACATCTTGAGTGGCATACAACAGGTTTGTTCCTCCATTCGATTAACCAAAAACCGAACCATTTAAATTGAACCTGAATGACCCAAAAACCGCCTAACCCGGTCGATACTCACCCCTACATGTAACTTCTTATTTCTTACATTCCTTATGGTCACTATCAAACTAGGTTTACGTAAGTCAATTGTCTCCTACTAATATATGTTGTTAATCAATTTTAGTAGTCTTAATCGGAAGGTTGTTTTCCTTATCAAAAAGTTTTAGAATGTATTTTGATATATTTCTCTTCATCTTTCTTAAAAAGTCTTTAAAAATGAAAACTTATATTTTTATTTATTTATTTGAAAAGTCTTAAAAAAAACTTTTTTTTTTTTTTTTTCTAAAAGAATAAAAGAAAATGTACGTTTTCTTGATTTCATTACTACTCCTGTTCTTTTGTTTTTTTCTCTGTTTCTTTTAACTCGGTGAAGACGGTGTAAAAAGAGAGTACGCAACCGAGGAAAGGGTCATGGAGGGTGCATCTCAACAGGAATTCTTTATTCGAAAAGGAATACCCTAGTGCATGTGTGCCATGAAGATTGATGCTCCTTTACCCCCACCTGCTAAACGCAGTTAAATACCCAAGATTCAACAAAAATGCAATCCTCTTCAATACCCAGTATCCAAAATCTCAACTAAATTCAAACCCCTCAGCCTAATCAGGTCAGTCTTAGTCTCAAATATGTTTATGTTATTAGTTCTTGCTTTATGATTGTGTGATTATACAAACCCACAAGCGATGCAAGTATTTCTTTTGATGATGGTCGTTTATATCATGTTTCTAGATTCTTCATTCTTAGGTCGCCAATCCGATCTCACTACATAATTGAAATAGACCGTCTAGGGTTAACCAATTCAGTGTCAATTCGGAGTTTTTCTTACATGCATGATTAATTGGTTATGAGCCCTAGGTTGTAGCTTGTTCATATATCGCGTAGTGATCGATTATGGATACACTCTGTCAAAGACATTTAAACCTTTTCATTTATAAAGATTATTTAATTTGAGTTTCTTATTGTTATATCATGATCTTGATGACAGTGAGATTCTTAAAAGTATTTAAAAACAAGTATGGTCAATTCAAAGATGCCCCGTAGAAGAGTTGCATTTGTGTTGATCGATGGATTGGGAGATGTTTCAATTCCAAGATTTGGATACAAAACTCCTCTAGAAGCTGCAAAAGTGCCAAACTTGGATGCCATAGCTTCTGCTGGAGTCAATGGTCTTATGGATCCAGTTGAAGTAGGTTTAGGCTGTGGAAGTGACACTGCTCATCTTTCTCTAATGGGTTATGACCCTCGGGTCTATTACCGTGGTCGAGGCGCCTTTGAGTCCATGGGTGCTGGTTTGGCCATGTCACCAGGAGATATTGCTTTCAAGGTATGGGCAAATCAGTCTTTTAACTAATAAAACGTCCCTCTTTTTGTGATTGTATTGATTTTCATTTCTTTCACAATCCATCAGTCAAACTTTGCAACTCTAGATGAGAAAACGGGAGTAGTCACTAGCAGAAGGGCTGACAGGCACTTTGAAGAAGAAGGCCCCATCTTGTGTGCAGCACTTGATAAAATGAAGCTCCCATCTTTTCCTGAATATGAAGTCAGAGTCAGGTGTGTGTGTGTGTGTGTGTGTGTGTGTGTGTCCTCTTACTCCAAGACTTGAAGGCTTTCTGAAAATAAAAGATGTTGCAAGTTTTATGCTTTTTTAGATTTGTTTCAGGTATGCAACAGAGCACAGATGTGGGGTTGTGGTGAAAGGACCAAAACTAAGTGGGAATATATCAGGAACAGATCCATTGAAGGATAACCGTTTGCTTTTACAAGCACAAGCTCTTGATGATACAGAAGAAGCAAAACATACTGCAACAGTTATCAATGAATTATCAAAAGAAATTTCTAAAATCTTAGTTGCTCATCCCTTGAATGAAAAACGTGCTGCTCAAGGAAAAAACATTGCCAATATTGTCCTTTTACGAGGCTGTGGCATTCGAATCGAGGTATTATTATTATTATTATTATTAACTTTACATGTCAAACATACAATTTCATTATTAAAAAAAATAATAATAAACAAAATTTTTATTATAGGTTCCTGCATTTGAGAAGAATCACGGACTAAGACCATGCATGGTGGCCCCCACGAAAATCATAGCTGGGCTTGGGTTATCTCTGGGTATAGACATTCTAGAAGCTTCTGGAGCCACGGGAGATTACCGAACCTTATTGACATCAAAAGCAATGGCGATAGCAAACGCGTTGTCGGCTCCTACAAAGTCTTGCCCGAATGTTTTTGTACCAGGGGAAGATGAACACAAGCCTGGTCCATCTGATGGTTATGATTTTGGATTCCTTCATATAAAGGTGTTCCATGTTTGTTTATTTCTGAAATGATATGATATAAATAATAAACGGAAATCATGATCATGATTCATGAAATGAAAACTTGGTTTCTTTAAATTACAGGCGATAGATGATGCGGGGCATGATAAAGCGAGTGTGTTTAAAGTGAAAGGGTTGGAAGCTGTTGACAAAGCGATAGGGCAGCTTGCAAGGCTTCTTTGGGAGGCAGAGTCAAGTGGTGAATTCCAGTTTTCAGTGTGTGTCACCGGAGATCATTCTACTCCGGTTGAATATGGGGATCATAGCTTTGAGCCTGTTCCATTTACGTTATGTCGGTTGAAAGATTATGTGGTAGCAGTTGGTGGTGAATCTGTGGTTTTACAAACTTCTCTTGATACGTTTCCACTTCCGGTTATTAAATCCGGTGAAGATTTATCAGATGATGTGGTGGAAGATGAGGAAGGGAGTCGACAGAATCGAGCATTTTCTGGCGATTCGGTTTGGAAGTTGGATGAGTTAGCGGTGGCAAGGGGTTGTCTTGGGCGGTTTCCGGGAAGTGAAATGATGGGGATTATAAAGAAGTTTGTTGAACTTGATGTATGATCTTCAGGAAGGAAGGTATGGAGCTTCAAGAATAACACAATTGTAGGATGATTGAAATGTTCTGGGACCTGTTTTCTTTTCACTGGTTGCTGTAATTGTCATCGTGTTTATTAGCTATGCCAAGCTTTTGTGAAATACTTGCCATAAATTTTGAAGATTGAAAAATTGGCTTGTATGAATAGCCCATAGGCCATAGTCATAGATCATTGAATCAACTTATGAAATACTTGTTTTTTTAGGTAACTAAGTCGTCACACAATCACCCACGTTTCATTTTCTAACAAACCTGTCTTCAAATTTTCTGTTTAGAGTTGACAATTCAAGTATCAATTTCCAATATTTGTGTTGTGTTGAGACTAATTTATCCTGTACAAGGAAATCACAAACTACACCAACCTACATTTCTTTTCCAAATGTGTTTAAGATTTATAAGTTAAGACTTTCGTTGTTTAGTCAAAATATACAAATTTTGAGCTCTAATAGGTTAACATTCGGTTTTTTTGTTGTGTTAGACTATCAATGTATTTAAATGGATGGCAGAAGAAACAGAAAAAAAAAAATGGTTTGTTAGGAGAGAACGGAAAAGCATTCATTAACAATCTTAATTTTTATTAAAAAAAAATGATCTCAAATTCTTATAAAATTTAACAATACTCAAAAAGTGAATAATTCGAATGACAAATCTATATTATAACAGTTCTAAACTACTAAATGCTTAAGGGAAATAGAAATATTGAATAAAAACGGAGGTAAACCCCTTAAAATAGCCTTCCATTGGAGACCTTTATTTTCGTAGGTGAATCCATATAAGCCCATGATCTTGAAGTCTCAAACTTTTTTTTTCAATCGCCGAACAACACATAATTTTGGCATTGTACCCATTGGTGTAGCTCGTTGATTGCTCTATTTGAACATCTCAATATCCACTCACTCTCAATTGCAGTGATCGAATGAGTGATTGACCAATTGGCGGACGGGTTGTAGGAAGGCTTTCTTATGAAAGAATGAAATCTCATTGCTTGGTATTTTTTCTCCAACAAGGCTCCATATTAGATTTCCTGAGCTTAAATTTTTGACTTTGGGCTCTAACCACATTATGGAGGAATATACAATATAGAATGGCCGATTCTAGATAATAAAAAACACTAAAAAAAAAAAAAGACTCTGTTTTTAAAAGAAAAAAAAAAAGTCTCAAATTCATATTAAGTTTAATAATACTCAAGACATAAATAATTCTAATGAAATCCGTAAAATGACTCAGAAATTAGGGATAACCCGTTGGATCAATGATTGGTTTCTAGTGAACCGGCCCGCTAGTGGGTCCAGATTAGCCATTTAAGCTCGTGGTACTAAATAAGGCCGAGACAGCAATTCGACGGACCACCAATCAATATGTGACTGTGTAGGTTGGTCTTTTGAGGTGATCTTGCATTATTATTCTGATACTTTTTTGTAATCAAATTCTTTATTTAATCTGTTTTTTTCTTCTAAAACAATTGTCAAGCAAAATAATAATCTTTTATGCCATTTACTATTTTACTTTCCATTTTTTATATAATAAAAAAACAAAAAGAAAATGATATCGTACGTGGTCCTCCGTCGTATACGCATTTGTATTGCACGTTAAGTCAATGCAATTCTATAATGCATGAAAAATGGCATCTGGTGGTCATGGCGGCGTATTCGATAGGGAAGTGGTCACATGCCATCAAATGCCATCTTTATTATTACAATCTTATTCAATGCCAAAACCCACTTCTTCAACCCCTATTCAACTTAGTGAAGTTTAGTAGCTCACTACCAACTTCCAATGTCTCCTTCTCTTTCTTTTTCGGTAAATCGGAGCCCTAAATTTTCATTCCAAGGTAAAGAAAAACAACACACATGCTCTTCATCTATTTCTACTGATATCAACTCTTCTTTGATTTATTTGTGGTGGATTTTGATCCAGTTTGGTAGAAGATGTTTTTTTTTTTATTTATTTATTTTGGGTCGTTTGATTTTACAGTTCATATGATTAGGTTAAAGCTACCGCTTATTCAAATCAATTTGCTTCTAACTGTACGATCTTATATCGACTTAAGATAAGAATCCAATAGCCAAACTTCTTTTCTTCTTTCTTCTTCTCCTTTCAGGTGAGGTGAAAAAACATGGAAATTCGTTGTTTAATGCAAATCCAAATCATTTAAAATTCTCATTTCGAGAAAAACCAGTATCAACGACACTTACTCCACATGCTGTCGCAACAGAAATCCCTACGCATTGGTATAATATCATCGCCGACCTCCCCATCAAACCTCCCCCATTTCTGCATCCAAAGACGTTTGCACCATTGCAACCGCAAGACCTATCTCATCTTTTTCCCGATGAACTGATTAAGCAGGAGGCAAGCAATGAACGATTCATTGTGATTCCTGATGAAGTTATCGATGTTTTCAGGCTTTGGCGCCCTACCCCTCTTATCAGGTCGGTTTTTCTTCTAGATTCTTCCATATATATAAAAGATTTCATATTTTGATTGTTTTGAGTTTTGATTTAGAGCCAAGAGATTGGAGAAACTACTTGATACACCCGCAAGAATTTATTACAAATATGAAGGTGTAAGTCCAGCAGGTTCACACAAACCAAACACCGCTGTCCCTCAGGTTTGGTACAATGCTCAACAAGGTGTCAAGAACGTTGTCACTGAAACAGGTGCAGGTCAATGGGGGTGCTCTTTAGCGTTTGCTTCCAGCTTATTTGGGCTCAACTGTGAAGTGAGTAATGACTTTCTCTTAGAGCTAGCTTCTTCATTTTAGTGTTGGTTAAAACTTATGGTTTAATTTCAATTTTAATTTGCAGGTGTGGCAGGTTCGGGCTTCTTATGATCAGAAACCATATCGGAAACTGATGATGCAAACATGGGGAGCTAAAGTTCACCCGTCTCCTTCAAACATCACGGAATCAGGCCGGAGAATCCTTGAAACGGATCCGTTAAGTCCAGGGAGCTTGGGAATTGCCATTTCAGAGGCTGTGGAAGTTGCAGGTCTTAACGAAGATACCAAGTATTGCTTAGGAAGTGTTCTGAATCATGTTTTGTTACATCAGACTGTTATTGGGGAAGAATGTATTAAGCAGATGGGGGATTTAGGGGAGACTCCTGACATCATCATTGGTTGTACGGGTGGTGGGTCGAATTTTGCAGGGCTCTGTTTCCCTTTTATCCGGGAAAAACTCAAAGGAAAAATCAACCCTGTTATAAGAGCTGTCGAGCCTACTGCTTGCCCTTCATTGACCAAAGGTGTTTATGCTTATGATTATGGAGATACTGCTCAATTGACTCCATTGATGAAGATGCATACACTCGGTCATGATTTCATTCCTGACCCTATTCATTCCGGTATAACTCTTTCTGATTTCTTGATATAATAACTCAGAAAGATGCTCTTTATGTTTAAAATGAACCATAATTTCACCTAATTTTGCAGGAGGGTTGAGGTATCATGGAATGGCGCCACTGATTTCACACATCTATGAATTAGGTTTCATGGAAGCAATCGCAATTCCACAGATTGAATGCTTTCGAGGTACAATTACTTTCAAATTTGTAATCTTTCGTCTATAAATTTTGTTATTTTGATTCCTAATGTGTTGAATTGGATGTAACGAACTGGTTTAGGGGCCATACAATTTGCTCGATCAGAAGGACTGATACCAGCACCGGAGCCTACACATGCCATAGCCGCAGCAATACGAGAAGCCCTTCACTGCAAAGAGAGCGGCGAATCAAAAGTGATATTAATGGCAATGTGTGGCCATGGCCATTTTGACCTTCCTGCTTACGAGAAATACTTACAGGGCGCCATGGTTGATTTGTCTTTCTCAGAAGACAAAATGCAAGCTTCTCTCGCCAATATCCCACATTTAACCTAAAATCTTACACCTTTTGTCTTTTTGGTTAATAAAAACAATCATAAACTCAATAAATTTACACTAATTCACATTACAATACATATGTGTTGGAATCATAATTCAACAGAACCACACCACACCGTGTTTATTCAAAACCCCCCATTGAAGAAAACAGATTGGCTATGAAGAGGAATACGCCGGCAATAGTCAGATATATACCGACCTTGTCTTGATTTGTTATATACGTCGCCATGCGGGCAGCTTTACACGAATCACAATCAAAACATTTGACATGCTTTGGTTTATTCAATGTCGCATTCGCCCATTTTACGCAATCATCGTTTTCGCTTACACTCCCCAACTCAAACAATTTGCGTGCACATTTTGGCGGAGGCACACAACACCCTTCCTGAAACCCTTATCCCGTTACATCAACATAACGATGACGATGGATAAAATGAAATGAAAAGGATGTGAAGGATTTGAAACGTACCCTGAAAAATTCGTAGTAATTTTCTATTTTCCAATCGTCGTCTTTATCAAGGAACTTTTCAGGTCCACGATCTTCTTCACAAAACTTAATCTCCGTCAAACACTCATCAACCATCGGCCACACGTTGTCGGCAACCATGGCTTCGATAAGCATCGGCTTATATTTTTCATCTAGAGGTGAATCCTCCTTATAAACATCATCGAAAACGGCTGATGTCGATTTTCTGATCCACCCGAACATAAGCAAACGCCAAACGACAATGGCCATGACATAAAGAAGTCCGATGTTGACCAAGAAAGTAAAGAGCCATTGAAAGAATTTGACTTTACAACATACGATTCCGACGAGGCCTAGGAGGCATGTAACCAAGACGCCGGTCATCAAATATGTTGGCCATAACACAGTGTCCTCTAAACATGTTTCGGTATGGAGAGCCACCATACGTACGCCGATTTCTAAAGCCCGTCTGCCTAGCAGATATATTGAGCCGGCGGTGCCACCCATTAGCCAAATGGTCAGCAATATTCGTGCAAACAATCCCATTTTTTTTTCTTTTTTATCAGTGTCGATAAGAGAGAAATGTGTGTCCTGTTATGTCCCTTATGGAGAAAGTTTACATTTGCGAATTGACATAGAAAATGAATAACGGATGTTCGTAAATTTTGTTAGTGTATAAAAGTTTGATACTTTGGTAAAATGTGTTTTTATTATCCGAATCGTCCTCTCACCCTCTATCTATCTTCCTCCAAATCGGGATCAGTGTTTGATGTCCCTAAGGGTACGTGTTGTTTTCCTAAAAGATTGGGATTAGTGTTTGATGAATGATGACCGATTATAACTTTTAAACGATTTAGAAAGTGTTGATATCTGTCAAGGATATTGACTGGTTAGTTTATTGATTACGTGTAGATAGTGCTCGATGCATGTGATTTTATTTTTTTGATGCCCAAGCATTAGCTAGGGAGTTATTCGATACGTTCTAGTCGACCGCTTTGCTTGTATGTAACGTCTTTAAATCGTCCACCAATACTTTTCATTTCTCTAGCTTTGATTTGAGAAATATGTTTGACATTTCATTTGGGTGTTCCTTGTTGTAGGATTTAGTCCGCTTCAAAAAATTAAGGGTAAAGTTGAATATGTTTACGTTATTTTCTGATTCTGAGATTATGTTTTGTTTATTTTGTTGTGATTAAGCCATTGAAATTGTTAGCTTTTTTTCAATCTTCACCACTTAAACGATTTTCAGATTATCGATGGACGTGACATGTTAATATGATAGTCCTTGACAAGAAATAGGTACGTATGTGAAGCTAGGTTAAGGTAACAACCATTTTTTCTTTCATTATTTCATTTTCTTTTCTTTTACCGAGAACTGCCACTATCACTATGTAACCACCATCGTCAACAGCCATGGTTGTCAGTGTTCTCTTTGCCGCCACTGACCACCATGTGGTGGTTGTGGTCTTGTTGTTCTAGCTTTAGGATCCTTAGTGGTTTAAATTATCTTTATCGTTTTAACTAGAATTGAAAGATGATAAATATAATCCTTAGATGGGTGAAGTGTGGAATTGATAAAATTGATTTAGTAATTGGATGAATTTAGCTATATGGATAAATTATATGTGAATTAACTTCGATGTAAGTTTGGTTCATGAGAAATTAAGTCATGTACAAGTGACTTTGTAAATGGAGTCATGATATTCAATGGTGATTCTTGAGTTACGTTACTTTTCTAGAGTACATTACGAACTTTTTACATAATTCATTCTATGTTCTAGTTTGTAAGTCAAATCCAAAGCATTTAATCACAATACACAAGAAATTTGTAATTATTGGGGTTAAATTTTCAGTTGTCCTAGTTTTCACTAAAACTATCGAGTATTTTTATGGTATTTCAGATTTAGCAAACATGTTTTGTTCAATCAAAAAACTCTTTATTGTGTTACATAAATTTATGCTGTTCTAATTGCTATTTTTCTTAAATCGTGGAATTATACCATTCTGAATTCAGTCATCGGTTTTGTTGGTTATAATATGAAGATTTGTACTCAAATTGTTACACATTGATACTGTTATTATACCATTGGTTTGTGTTGATAAGAGTTTTTTATAATCAGGTTTGTTGTTTATGTGTAATGATTCAAGTTTGTTCTAAACCAGTTTAATGTCTTTATCGTGATATGTTTAATGGAAAAGGATATATAGTAGAATCAAGTTGTTTAAATCATACTTAAGCTTCGGAATGGGGGTGGAATTATTAATCAAAAAATTCAGTTATATTGAGTGCTCCCACATCGGCATGTGAGGAAACTTATAACCCGTTGATAAATTCATCCAGCAAATAAGATGTCACCGGGCTTGATTACGCTTGCCTATAACCCAAGTGGGGGTATCAAAGTGGGTCGGACTGTGATTTGGGTCAATCGGTTGGGTCTGCTGTGCATTATCTGGCTTGCCCGTTCCAAGTCGAGAGTTGATTCATGTGGCTTGAGCGAAAGCTCGGATCACTTGGATCTTAGAGTAGGGGACAACGCGTTAGGCTGGCTTCACAGAGCTGCGATAACCCCTCGCTCCTGACAGTGGAAGGATTACAAGCCTCGGCTCTTCAGTCCCATCTAAGCCGGCTGCTCTCAATCAAATGGACACCCACTTTTTCTCTCCTTCAGCTTTCTGTTTTATAATAATTATTTATCAGTTAGTAAGAAATCATATCAGTGCTTAAACGCTTGCTTCTCTTCATATTTATACAGAACTACTCTTTTTTTTTTTTTCATTAAAGAAGTTATATGGGATGAATCAAGGAAATAAAGAAAGGTTGCTTGGAATTCCAAATGTTAGGGCATGTCGACCAACAACAAAGAAATTTATATTCATCGTATTTTTCTCAAGGAGGTGCATCACAAAAAAAAGACCAATATTTCAATCTCATAATCCAAATAGTACAAAAATTCGCAAACAGAAGAATATGACTCTCTACCCTTTCTTCTCGATCTCCCTAACTCGTTTCTCTGCACTCTCCCTCGTTTTTCTCCTTCTCCACGCCACATAAGGGTTGGGGAGGGGTTTATATAATCCCAAGATGCCGTAGAGGGCAAGGAAAATGGGTTGAATCTAAATCTGGAAGGGATATGGGCTGAAATCCCGTTTTTGCATGAAAATTCCTAGTTTACACTAATGGTACCTGATATTTGTGCACATAAAAAAAATTCCACAAATTCCAATTTGAGTTAAATAGCCAATCCTTTCTGGAAATTCAGATCACCCCCTGAACTTTTGAAGTTGATAATTTTAACCAAATTTTCTTTTTCAGTAACAAATTTGGTACTTTCAGATTTTTAATAAATCCCAAAACTAATTAAATTCTTTTAATACCATTTAACTATTAATTATATTAAAAAAAAACTTTCAAATCTATTTTAAAATTTAGACTAATTGCACGAATCATCTTTCATACAAACGCTAAAAGATATGTCTAATCTATTTAAACGCTAAAAGATATGTCTAATCTATTTTAAATTTTAGACTAATTACACGAATCCCTAATATAAATGCTAAAATGTATGTCCAATCTATTTTAAAATTTAGACTAATTGCACGAATCGTCTCTCATTTTGTTACAAGTTACACATTTCATTCCTCATTAGTTTAATTTTGCACGCTTCATCCTTTGCGATACATGAAATGACTATAGTGTCATTTTCAATTTATTTTTGATATTTCTATTACTTTTAATTATTAGAAAACATTTTAATTAAAATTGTGTTCTGCCTAACCTTTTTATAACTATACACCTAATAAAGCCATTTCTAATGTCCTAGGCTAAGGCAGTGCAGGTGAAAGCTCAATAGATCCCATTTTTTTTATCACTCCACATAGCTCATGACTCGGCATGGAGAAATCTCTTAGATGGGCGGATGCGAATATGGATCTATCAACGGAGCAATTCCATTCCAGTCGTAGTCTCAATCCCATATTCAATGTGTCGTCTCCGCCGTGTCTGACCCCCCGTTAAATAAAATTTGAATTTTATTTATCCCGTTATTTTCTTGTGGTTTAGTAAATCATTTAAATTTTATAACTAATTTTTATATAAGAGTAGGAATCAAAATTGCACGAAAACCCGAGTTTTTCGTCGAAAATCAATCAAATCCTATTCATCTCGGTATTCACGGCCATGAACCCAATCACAGTCGTAAACCGTTCACGGCCAGGAACCCACCACCGATAATGAACCCAACCTATATATGTGTTCTTACCCTCATTTTCAAACTTCTGGCCGAAAACACTACTTTCTCTCTCTAAAACACCCAGCCGAAAACTCAAGAACACTCTCATTTATAACCCGAAAATTCATCCAAACCACTTTAGAACTCATTTTGAGGCATCAAACAATCAAATCGAACACTCCTCATTTTTGAGTTCACGATCGTAAACCCTTCAAACCTTCATATTTTCACCAAGAACAGACAGTAAACCCTTCAAGGGGCGAAAACTGTTCACGGCCGAGAAAAGTTCACGGCTGCAAACCACCCTAAGCCGTGAACTTAGCTGAAAACCCGTTTTTTCCGATTCAATCGAGTCCCGGTAACATTCCTAAACTAAAAGCAATTGTTTTCCAACACTATAATTAATGGTTTCGCTAATAATACGTGTATATGTGTTTAATTATTATTATTAGGATTCCGTTAACTCTGCATACAACAACTCAAGGGTCCTCATTCCAGTTTCAGAGTCCAACACCTTCACGCAACCAACAGTGAGTTCATACCATATGCTTTTACTATTTTTAACGTTTTTCAAGGGGAATAAAAGCCAAACACAAATGATTTTGTGAAATTAAACAAAGGAATTTCAATAGGTTTAAAACTTATGCAATTAATACAACCAAATGATTTCTGCATTTTATAAAATATTTAGATATTTTATCCCTTTTGCAACATGTTGAGCATAAGGGACGTTTTCAACTTACAGCCATAATTGCATAGTTTTCAAATCAATACATGAACCAAGTACATAACATGCATGCAAACTATAATACGTATAGTTTGGGATTTTAATATACAGTTTTACAAATTCAGAGCTTATACATTACTACTTTCGGATTTCAAGAGTACAATACTAAATAATTATTTAAGTATAATTATTATTACTCTACAAAGTATACAAACGGATTCAAATACAAGATAACGATACAAAACCACACGTAAACTAGTTAATACATGATTGTGAGACATCTCTTCAATTGCGCCCTTCAGGGTATGGAATAAATCATATCATTTAGTGTAACCAAAGTCTCTTGGAGGGAGAGCGTGATGTTTATGAATAGATCTATTCGAGACTGACAATATCACACCTGAACTGCTAGCTACAGTTAGGCAGGCATGCTTGGGGTGAAAAATATCATATCGTCCGACGCTTAAAGAACGTCGTAGAGGTCATAAGTCATATCTTGCATGGTTATACGACTCACAATAGTATAAACTAACATTTGTTTATGGGATTTTATTCTTCATTAGTTTTATTTTAATTAATAAAACTACTATACATTAATTTGGAGGATTCCAGGGGATACAATACATGGTTTTATTTTAAGTAATGAAACTTCTATACATACTTGTGGTAACCAGGGTTTTCAAACAAAACATTCTATAGGTTACTGGTGATAGCCAGGGTTTTGATACAAAGGGTTTTCATTCAAAACAACGATATACATTACAGCTGGAGGTGACTAGGCATACAAACTATT